CCCCCCCCAACCTCTGCGCCCCTCCCCCACCCAGGGCTCGGAGAGCGACGGGCCCGAGGACGCCCCTCCCCCACCCAGGTAAAAATTCCAGGGGGGATTTTTTTGGGATTTTTTGGGAATTTTTGGGATTTGGGGGGGATTTTGGGGGGGGGTTCTGCGGTCGCAGCCCCCCCTCAACCCCCTCCCCTCCCCCACAGCCGCGCCCCTGCTCCCCCCAACGGGCTCCGCCCCCCCCCGGCCCCGCCCTTCGATTACCAGCAGGTAACTGGGCGTGGCTCGGGGGGCGGGGCCTGGCCGGGGGGGGGGCGGGGCCGCGTTTTGGCCCCCCCACCCCCACCCCTTTCCGGAATTCCGGAACCTTCCCCGCGGGCCCCCCCAGCTGTTCCAGGAGCTGTGGGAGGAGAACGAGCGGATCCGGGAGCAGCTGCAGGAGGCGGAGCTGGCGCTGACCCAGAGCCGGCTGGAGCTCGAGAGGGTCACTCAGGTCCGTGGCTGCTCCCTCGCCGGGCCCCGGGGGCTGCCCGGGACCCCCCAAACTCCCGGGACCCCCCCTTTTCCCTCCCCACAGCGGCAGGAGCGCAGCGCCGAGCGGCCGGCACGGCTGGAGCTGGAGAGATTCGTGAGTCACCCCAAAAACGCCACGCGAAACGCCTCACGCTGCCCGCCCGCTCCCCCTCGGCCTTCGGCTCGCTTCCCCTCATGATTTCCCTCACGATTCCCCTCACGATTCCCCTCACATTCCCCTCACATTCCCCTCACGATTCCCCTCACATTCCCCTCACATTCCCCTCACGTTTCCCGCCTTTTTCTCCCCTCACGTTTCCCGCCTTTTTCTCCCCAAGTTTCTCCTCATTTCCCTCACGTTTTCCCTCATGTTTCCCACCCTTTTCCTCTCCCTTTTCCCCTCGTTTTCCACCCTTTGCTCCCCTCACGTTTTCTGCCATTTTCCCCTCACATTTCCCCTCACAATTCCCCTCACATTTCCCGCTCTTTTCTCCCCTCACGTTTCCCGCCCTTTTCCCCTCACATTTCCCGCTCTTTTCTCCCCTCATGTTTCCCGCCCTTTTCCCCTCACATTTCTCCTTTTCCTCTCTCATTTCCCCCCACATTTCCCCGTTTCCCCTCTCATTTCCCCTCACATTTCCCCTCCTGCTGTGTCTCAGGAGCGCCGGGCGCTGGAGCTGAAGGCGGCTGAGCTGGAGGAGGAGCTGAAGGTGAGCGGGATTCACCCCGAGCCCCCCATTCCCCATTCCCCATTCCCGGGGGGTCCTGGCGTGCTCCGGGGGGTTTTGGGGGGCGGTTTTTGACCCCCGGACGCTCCCCAGGCCCTGTCGGACCTTCGGGCCGACAACCAGCGGCTCAAGGACGAGAACGCGGCGCTCATCAGGGTCATCAGCAAACTCTCCAAGTGACCCCGACCCCAAATCCGCCAAAATCCGCCCAAAATCTGCCCCAAATCCGCCCAAAAAATCCCCCCGCGGGGGCGGAGCCAAACGCGCCGGGGGCGTGGCCAGAAGGAATGGGCGGAGCCGATGCCGCGGGGGCGTGGCCAAAGCCGCGGGGGGCGGAGCCAACTTTATTGCACTGAGGTGGAAGCTGCCAAAAGGGGCGTGGCCAAACCAGGGGGGTGTGGTCTGTGAGCGCCAGGCCCCGCCCCCGCCTCTCCCCGCATGCCAATCACGCGCCGTTCGTCCAATCAGATCCGCGGGGGGCGGGGCCGCCTCACGCCCCGCCCACCCCACCAACCTCGCCCCTCCCCCCCACGAATATTTTTGTGTAAAAAAAGAGGAAAATGATTAAAAAAGGGCGAAAGGCGGGGGAGGGGCGCAGACCAGGCGTGGTTTTTTATATAAATATATTTGTAGAGCTCTGTAGGTACAAATTCCCCTCCCCCACACCCCGCCCCGCCCCCTCCCCCACCCACCCATCACTCCAACCCCGACTTTTGTCCTTTTTCCTTCTTTATTCTGTCCAAAAAAAGGTTAAAAAAAGAGAGAAAGGGGGGCGGGGGGAAAAGGGGAGGGGGGAGGGGCGACTTTTACCTGCAAAGA